ACTAGACTGCATAATTTAGCCCTATAATCAGGTAAGAGACCAAGAATAGTCAATTCAAAAATACTTGGGTATTTTTTGAGGGCACCACCAAACCACATAGATCTGATCACTTAAACACATTTCAGGCTACATATTGTACCCCCATGCACTTTTCTACAAAGTAACCATCATCCCCATCTTTTACTGTTATTTAACTGCAACAAATGATCTCCAAAAATTAAGTAGCTGTATACAGGTTGAGCTGACAGAATTATAAAATGTCAGTGGACCACCTGTGCATTATCATTCTGATAGCCAACAGGGGAAGTCCCTTTAGACCTTGCCCTCCTTATATCACTCAGCCTTTGACATTAGCAACACTTTTGGCAAACTAGAGCTTTGAAATTTTCCCACACAAGAATGATGAGACACTGGGCCACATACAGGAATCTGTTTCTAAACCAGTTTAAAAAGCCAAAAGGTCTTTAATATTTAAAAACACTTATCCAAAGGTTTAATAACGGTCTTAATAAGTATTGTTGTTACAAGGAAAATTAATTTGGATTTTACATTTAAAAATTTAAAGAATTACCCTGTATTTTGACTATACAACTCAATTAAGAAAATCACAAGCAGATGCACAAGACAAGGATATATATATATATATATATATGAAACAAACTAGTGGGTGAGGTGCACTGAGCACATACAAGATGCATCGGGAGATTGCAATGCCAACATTCTTTGGAATAATATTGTTAAATAATTTGTTATATACAGATATGGTCTAAAAGTTACACCCAGATACAAAAACGGGCCCCAATGTGCCATTACAACAGACAGGACTATCCAGAAGACAATAGTGGAATACAGTTAGAATTGTGGAGGCTCAGCTCTTCTGCAAATCAGACTGTACATGACTTGGTTAAAAACACACAGAAAGTAAGCAGTGGCTGTGAATGAAAACAAAGGTTCTTGTCTCAGTCTCCAGCTCTAACAACAAAATCACTATTTTATACTTTTTTGTGACCACTGTTCAGCAAATTATTTCCTCTTCTTAGTCAAGTGACTCGCCACCCTCTGGACTTTTATTATTACAGCTAGTTTTGCTTTCATCCCATCCTCTCAAATGGACTTAGTAAATAGGAGAAAGCATCAGTCATCAGTAAAACTGTAAGTGCTAGCTCCCAAAGTCCATAGGTTCAAACTCTGCACTTCACTCCAGCTGGCATGTTTAGGTCAACCTGCAATCATCTCCACTGAGTGCCCACAGAAGCTCAGCTTTTCATTCAATAGCTCATATGTTCTGGTACTGCAAAGTAAGCAAAAGAAGAGGTTTTGATAATTTATGGAACCTTTCAAAGTTTTCATGTTCCTTATTCCAAAACTGATTTAAAATAATTTCTCTATCTAAAATATATAGTTTTTTTTTTGTTTGCAGTGTTGTTGTAGCTGTTTTGGTCCCCGGATATTAGAGAGACAAGGTGGATGAGGTAATATAATTTACTGGACCAACCTCTCATAGTAAAAGAGACAAGCTTTTGAGCTTACTCAGAGTTCTTCTTCAGACTTGTAAGCTCAAAAGCTTGAATCTTTAACCACAAGAAGTTGGTCCAATAAACTATATTACCTCACTCACCTATGTTTGGGGGGGAATTCAACATTTTAACATATATGAATACATGCATTTCCATGAAGTGATTTAGTTATTAAAGGAATGGGAAAGTTAGAAAGTTTGGAGAGAGAAATTTCCCTGTTCCCTAGCTCTAGACATTTAATTTCTGAACCAGGGTATAGATTTATTCCCTTCTTGTACAATGTGATTTTCATTATTTCTTTGTTTAATATACCAACACACACTATTCAAGCCTGGTCTGCAGCTCAGACTTTGGTACAGCTTTCCTCAATTTCTCTGGGAATCTCACAAATAAATCACTGTTACTGTGTGACAAACTGCCTTCCGACCTTTGGACGGATTAATGCCCACTGTAGTTTATTCCCCTATTGTTCCTATCTTCTCTAGTAGCAGCTTACTGTCTCTGGCTGAGGATCTCTCAGTCTGATCATCCACAGTTTTTTGTTGTTTTTTTTAAACCTCCCACAGCATCACTTGCATGCATTATGACAAGCTCAGAAACAATTGTAGCTGTGCAGTATCAGTTTCAAACATTCAAGTGTATTCTTCAATAGTACTTTTGATAAAAAACATTGGGGATTGAAACAGGGTGATGCTGGCCCTTTAAGAGGGAAGAGGCCAGATCATCTGTGACTGGTCAGTTGACCCCAGTTGGGCTTAAAGGAAGGCACGTGGGCCATATACTTGGGTAGAGACAAAGACAGTGAAGGAGTCAGTCAGAAAAAGGGCAGCTGAGAGCTGCCAGAGACCAGGAGACTGCAGGAATTCCCTAAAGGAAACTATAGGTTTCTGGGGGAAGGCTGTCAGGAGAGACGTAAGAGGGGTTTGATGACTGACCACTTAGGATGGAGAGCTAGGGCTAATGGCTGAGAGCAAGAGAGGGAGTTGCCTGCTGACTTGAAAGCGGGGCAGCCATGGCCAGAAAAGGATGAATGCAAGAAAGCAGTAAAAGGGTTTGCCAGCTGACCTCCCCAAGCCAGACAGCCAGGGCCAAAGAGCTGGAGAGGGATGAAGACAAGAAACATAGCAGAGGAAGTTGCCGGCTGACTCCCAAGCTGGAGTTGAAGGCCAAAGAGGGATGATGGGAAATAAGCAGCAGAGGAGCTTACTTGATGGCCTGTCTGAAATGAGAGGTTAATGGAACAGGGGAAGTCATGGATGCTTCCTGGATAAGGATGAATTTCCAGCAGAGAGGCTTTGTAGGGGGGAGAAGGGTGTGTGTTCTCCACTGGGAAGAACAGGGTTACATTCCTGCTGGAAGGGCTGGGATAGCTGTCCTGGCAGCACGTCAGTAGAAGACTAATGAAAGACCCAGGAGTGGTAGAACACACTGGAGTGTGGTATGTGCCAAATCAATGGACTAGAAGTCATGGAATTTTTAAAGAACTATATACACCATGGGCAAGTAATAGATGATGTTTTAAGCCTTTTGTTATGGACTAAATTGCACTAGATTTGATAATAAACTGGCCCCAATGAGGATATTAGTGAGTAAAGAAAGCTTGTACGGAGTTGCAGGTCACTAAAGGAGGGAAACTGAGGCCAGCAGGGTTGTCCTATGTCAGGGGTTTTCCCACCCCTTTTTTATAAGTTGTTATATTTGTTGAAATATTATATTGTTTGACAATATTATAGGGAGCATCTTCAACAGACCAGATTAATTTCTGGTGGTGCAGCCAAGGTTGCAAGCCCTGAGTGGTGGAAAGCCCACCAGGAGCAAGAATGCAAAAAAAATACCCACAACAACTGCTAAGCTAGTGGCGTGAAAGCTAGCCAATGCAGCCCCAAAAGCAGATGAACTAGGACTAGGAGGGGGCAGCTCCAGAGAGACCTGAAGACAGACTGATTCAGCACCTCTTCCAGACAAACTTGACAAGGAGGGCTCCCTATGAAACCATAAGCAGTTTTTATAGCTGCCCTCCTGCAGCAGTGCCACCGCCATGTTGTCCCAGAACCAAATTCCACTCCAATCCAGTTGTCCCTATGAGCATAAGAGAGGTATTACAAAGAACAGCCTGCTTTCCCACACGGATCAAGTTGACCACACGTTTTTACACACATGTACTGTATGAGCTTACAAAAAAGCAAACACATGAACTATGAAGAAAACTACTAAACACCAATTGTTTAAATCCACAGCTACTTTTGTATACTTACTGTTTCTCCTATGAAATTTTTGCTTGTGCACATGTAAAAATTGGTCAACAAAAGAAAATACATTTTCTTCTATATTTTATAGTAAAGCAGGCATATTTCAAATTTTCTGGTATATCTTTGTAATGACTACCAAAACCTTCCCAACAAATCCATACCGGGGGGGTGGGGGGAGGGAGGGAGAGAGCTCAGTGATTAGAGCATTGGCCTACTAAACCCAGGGTTGAGAGTTCAACCCTTAAGGGGGCCATTTAGGGATCTGGGGCAAAAATCTGTCTGGGCATTAGTCCTGCTTGGAGCAGGAGGTTGGACTAGATGACCTCCTAAGGTCCCTTCCAACCCTGATATTCTATGATTCTATATTAAAAATTCTTCTTTATAAAACTTTTATTTTTATTATAACATTCAATACAAATCAAATTCAATTTCAACCATACCTGAATTACCTACTGGAGACCCATGCATTATTTTTATCACCAAAACAAAGGTAGTCTTGTGTATTTTCTAAATACATTTCTTCCTCTCTTTCTAACTCAGAACCTGTCTTTTGTGGAGCTCTTAAACTCAAGATACAAACCCTTTCTTTGTAGTCTATTTAAGTTCTTGTACTGCCTTCATCAACATGGCATCTGAGCACTTTGCAGAAGTGCATTAAGCAATGTTACTAGCATCTGTCACCTGTAGCTCTTTCCCCCGCATCCTCTTGCCAGGGGGAAAGTCTGAAGATAGAGCAATTGCCCCAGCTTCACAAGGGTTTGTCTAAAGTTTAAAAATCAAGACCTCCCATACCTTAAAAGAAAAATATACTGCTAGACTTATAACCAGTCTATGTGTCAGGGAATGACACTGGGGAGAAACATAAAAATAACGAGTTTCTTTTTAATATAATGTTTCTTTACAAAAACACAATAGAGTTTACTAACAAATCTGGCAGCATAGCAGGACGATCACAGGTTTTTTCCTGGAAGTAAAAGGTTCAGGAATGCTCTAAAACTTCTGAGCTAGTCATGCAAAATCTAGAATGAAGCAAAAGCCTAGTATGCACTAACCACTGTAGCTACCATTGCCAACCAAAGTATTACATTAGGGCCTCTTATAGATATGGGCAGCTCATGATTCTTGATAGAAGGGAAAATGAAACAAAAAAAGTGACACAAGATATATAGTAAATATAGCCAGAATTCATTGAATTATCTTTTATATTTTCGGTTTTGAAGTAAACTTTCTTTACCTTATCACAGAAGTCAGTAAGAGCAGTAAAGTCCCACTTCTTGGCATAAGCAACATTATATCTCAATATAGCCTCCTATGGAAGAAAAACACACATACTGGAATAATAAATACAGATCCTTGGTTGGCATACGACAATTCACTGAAGTTTATCTTTTTGAAGAAACAGCACCATCTACTGGCAGAAAAGTATCTTAATACACAACAAACTTGCTATCTTGGGGCCTCACCTGCAGGCTTTATATAGGCAAAAAACGCCCCTTGTAATTGACAGGAGCTTTTGCCTGTATAAGGGACTAGAGAATCAGAAGCATAGCAAAGTTAAGCAGAACAATTAAAAACACAGAAACAAGGACCAGGCCTAAACATAATCTTACCAAAAATAATTCCAAGGAAAACTGGCTTAGTTCTTAATTTACAATATTCTCTCTCTCTCTCTGTGTATCTGACTTTAAGACCTCTTTTTGTCTAATCTAACTTTTTTTTTTATAACAAAGAACCATGTTTTAAAATATCAATTTTACACTGCTTCAAGAAATTGGTCAGCCTCAAAACACACGCTAGGAATTGTTGACAAAAAAATAATTTAATAGTTGCTATGTCATTCATGCAACACAAAAATTGAGCATTTTCTTTAGTCATCACAGGGCATAGAGGCTTTTTTTTAAAAGTTGTTTTTAAAAAAAGGTTTAAAGCCTTCCCAGCCGCCTGAATTTTTGTGAAATAGAAATAGAAGCAGGAATTCCTGACAGCCCTGAGCTCCAACAGATTAATGTGGAGATTGGTTTTCTGAGCTGTCCATTTTCCCTGAGGCATAAGAGCATTGAGATGAGTTCCCCATCCCAACAGCGATGCATATGTTGTTTAAGTCAGTGATCTAATTGGGCAACAGAAGAGAATGCCCATGCAGATGTTGAATTGATCTTTCCACCAACCCAGGGAGTTCCTCACTTATAGAGGAACAGTCACCTGTCTGTCCAAAGGTGTTTCTGACTTGAGGCATAGCCTTACATAATTAGTCACAAAAGTGCAAGCTGTTATGTATCGCAGGAGCTGAAGACAGTTCCTTATAGAGGTTCAAGGATTCCCCTGAATTGTCCATATCAAATCTGACAAGGTTATGAACTTGTCTAAGGGAGGGTAGGCCCTGGCTGTTGACAAATCCACAGAAGCCCCTATAAACAATCTTCCTTGTGGGGATTAACAGGGATTTCCTTACTTTTAGCTAAAGACCCAACTCTTGGAACAGAGCAAGGGCCAGGAGGCTGGAAGACAGCACTACTTCATAGGAATGGCCCTTGGAAGACCAGGATTGCCTCTGTCAGAGGTCAACAGCCACTACCACCACGACCTTGGAGAACACCCTTGGGGCAGAGGAGATACTGAAGGGAAGTACTTTGGAAATGATCCTGGTCTATAGTGATTCATAAATATTTCCTGTGCGAAGGGTGTATCGTTATATGGAAATAGGCATCTTGTAGGTCGAGGGCTGAAAACCAATTTCCCTTCTCCAGTGAAGTAATTATAGCTGCCAGAATCGCCATCCTGAACTTCTGAGGCTTTACAAACTTGTTTAGAAGTCTTAGATCAAAGATCAGTCTCTGCCCTCCATCCTTCTTTTGTATGAGGAAATACTTAAGAGTAAAACCTCTTGCCCCTCTGAGGGGCAAGGACTGGCTCTATTGCTCCTAAACAGAGGGGTTCACCTTCCATCTTAATAAAAGCTCATGAAAGGGGTCCCTAAAGAGGAATGGGGAAGGGGAATTGAAAGGAGGGTGTGATGTACAATGGATGATCTAGTGTGATGTTGTGACCTCTATAACCCACTTGTCTGTAGTAATTTGCCTCCAGGCATGCTGGAAATCAGAAAGGCAGTCCCCAAAGAGAGGGTGGAGGGCAAAGAGTTGCAACTGTAAAACCAGAGATGCAGGAGGATACCAACCCTCAACCAGCCTTTCAAAATTGCTGCTTAGGAGATGGTTGAGTGGTCATGGAGGGCAGGTGGGCTGTCCTTTTTCTCTGAAACTTATGTCTTTTCCTGCGGGGTTCGGTGGACCTATGGAATCCAGAGAACTGATCAGGACGTGATCTCCAGGCAGTTTGTGACCTACTAAACTATCTCTTATTAGTAGGTGTATATATGCCCAAGGAATATGGCTCCAGAGTCCTTCAGTGTATGCAAGGACTCATCTGTGGTCCCCAAGAAAAGCCTACAATCATTGAAAGGGAGGGCCGCAACCGTTTTCAGTACTTCTCCTGGAAATCCCAAGAGCTGGAGCCATCATGCCCTGTGCATAACTACCACCATGGACATGGACCTGGCAGCAGTGTTCACAGCAACTAAGGATGTTCGAAGAGCAGTTCTGGCCAATAATTGCCCCTTTGAAATAGACTGGAATTGCTCCCTATGTTCCTATGCCATGTGTTAAATAAAAGCCATCAATTTATTATAGTTTCTGAAACGGACTGCCTGATAGTTCATGATCCTGAACTGCAGGATTGCTGATGAATAGGACTTCTGTCTAAAAAGATCAAGTCTCTTATGGTCCTTGTCATGTGTAATAGACATGGAGAAGTGCTGCCTGCCCTACTTGTTTACTGCATCCACTACTAGGGAGTTTGGTGGAGGGTGGGAGAAAAAGAAATCAGAGTCCTTAGGGGGAATATTATATTTTTTGTCTGTCCTTTTACACATGGGTGAAATAGTAGGTGTTTGCCATACAGTCTTAGCAGGATCCAGGAGTGCCTCACTGATAGGTAATGCCACCTGGAGGGTGTTGTTGACAGTAGAATATCTAACATCTTATGATGTGTTGTGAATCCCTGACCTCGTCAAGTGGAATTTGAAGAGTGTCAGCTTTATGAGGTCTTCAAGTTGCCAAAAATCAGTAGCCATGGAAGACGGTGGAGGCAAAACTGCTTTGCCTGGAGAAGAGGATGAAATTGGTGTTTGAGGGTGATTTCTGTATCTGCCCTCGACTCCTGTTCCTAAAAAGTGTCTCTTCCTGGGGTGGGGAGGTGGCTGGTTGAGGAGGAGGACAGGACTGAACAACCCTACTCTCCCTTTGAGACGGCAGTTGTGGTCTGGAGAATTGCTGTCAGTAAGCAGACCAGGGATCCTAGTATGCCCATTGAGGGGGCCCATACAGGAGTGGGGGTGGGATACAGGGTTAGTTTCACCACCCTCGATGACGGTTGCACTCTTCCCTATGACTGTCAAAGAATGGGTTCCTGACAGTCTATGTTGGGGAACCCTGGATTCAAATAGAAGAGACCAACCAGAAGTCCCCTTCATCCTCCTCAACACTGTCCGATGGAGGAGCATAGAAAAGGATGGCAAATCCTGCGGTATCAAGGGACAACAACAGTCTGGAGACGGAGGTCTCAGTACTGAGAGACACTCAGTATCCACGAGGAACTGGGATTTCAGCTCATATGTTATGGATAGGGCTCTACCAAATTCACGGTCCACTTTGGTCAATTTCATGGTCATAGGATTTTAAAAATCGTAAATTTCACAATTTCAGCTATTTAAATCTGAAATTTCACGGTGTTGTAATTGTAGGGATCCTGACCCAAAAAGGTGTTGGGGGGGGGTCCCAAGGTTATTGTAGGGGGGGTTGTGGTACTGCTACCCTTACTCCCCATTTCTGCAGGTGGCGGCACTGCCCAGCTTTGAAGGCAGAACCACTGCCTGCAGAAGCGGGGAAGTAAAGATGGCATGGCATAGTATTGCCACACTTACTTCTGTGCTGCTGCCTGCGGAGCTGGGCCCTCAGTCAGCAGCCGCCACTCTCCGGCCGCCCAGCTCTGAAGGCAGCAGCGCAGAAGCAAGGGTGGCATGGTATGGTATTGCCACACTTACTTCTGTGCTGCTGCTGGCAGGGCGCTGCCTTCAGAGCTGGGCACCTGGCCAACAGCCACCACTCTGGCCGCCCAGCTCTGAAGGTAGCACAGAAGTAAGGTGGCAATACCATGACCCCCCTAAAATAACCTTGCGACCCCCCTGCAACTTCCTTTTGGGCCAGGACCCCCAATTTGAGAAACACTGGTCTCCCCCATGAAATCTGTATAGTACAGGGTAAAAGCACACAAAAGACCAGATACCATGGTGGGAGACCAGATTTCACGGTCCGTGACGCATTTTTCATGGCCATGAATTTGGTAGGGCCCTAGTCATGGGCAAGTCCCTCACATATCTGAACTCTTGTGGTACCGATTAGGGAACTTGTACCAATGTGGTAGCCATGGACATGGTAGCCAAGGCTGACAGTATCATCGATGGCAGGCATACCAACGTAGACACTGATGGAGTCTGGCACCATTTCTTGCTCAGTACCGAGGGTGCCAAATGGGTAGGTGCCAACATGGGTCTGGACCTAACAGTACCGGACCATGGTGTTTATGCTTGCCGTCCTTCTCCATGGTAGAAGGTACCAAAGCCCTGTCAGAGCCATGTCTCTCCCTCGAGCTCCAGGGCTTTCTGACTCTACCGGTACCGGATGAGGAGTCTTTCAACTCAATGGTACCGAGCCAAGAGATCAAGGCTTTGGAGACTGTAGCTCTTCAAAGGGGACTGGGATTTTCTGGAGCAGGCTCTTTCAGATGAGAGTCCACACTCCTTTTTTTAGAAGCCCTTTCAGAAGCCTTCAACAACATCCACTTCTTAAGGGGAGCCTGTGCGAAGGTGAAAGGGGCCCTGGATCTGTCTGGACACAGATGTACGGGGGGGGGAGATCTCCTGACCTGACTCAGACACTGAAGTGAGCACTAAACCATTAACAGTCTGAGCTTAATCTTCTTGTTCTTCATTATCCTCAACTTGAGGAATAGGCAGAAATTGCACCCCCCCAAACAATGGACACGCTTAGAGTGGCTATTGCTCACAGGTATTGCTCTCGGCAGGAAAGGCAACATTTGAAGCCTGGAGAGCCAGGCATGTCCTGCCAGAAAGACAAGACTCCCGAAGGAAAAAGAGAAAAGGGGGGGAAAAACCCATCCCCTCACTACTAACACTTACTAAGTAACTAACTAATACTAACAACGACCTACGCTCACAAAACTTAAGCTATAAATAGAATTTGAAATAACCGAGGCAAGCTGAAGGAGTGCATGCTAGACCTCCACCTGAGGTAAAAAAGGAAACGAGGGCGGTTTTTCCACACATCCATCTATAGCTTCAGTGTCTGGCACAAGGAGGCATATGGTGTACATGAAGGCTGAACGAGTATTGCTACTGGAAAAATCTCCAATCAAGGGCTTGAGAAGCAAATGTGCAAGGAGGAACGTTTGGGGAAGTTACAGTGCAGCTTGCTGAGGAAAAGGCACAAGAGAAAATATTTATGAGAATTTAGAAGAAAACCACTTAAGTCTCTTACTCATTTTCAGTATCTCCATTTGCATCTGCAAACTCTTACACAAGGCCTGCTACTAGTGAGTGAAAAGCAATTCAGAGTGTTAAAAATGCCATGCTGCTCACTGAGGACTCAGAGTGGAATCTGCTCTCTGCTTGGTCCAAAATAGCCCAAATTTGGGGACCATCTTGGTACTCTGCATGTGTCCTCTGTTGACTGGGGTTTTGGAGAGGGCTGAAGACGTGCTTCCTACAACAATGAAGGGGAAGAAAGGAATTTTTGTAGGTAGCTGATGACATGTTGAAATTATTATTTAACACTGCTGGTATTTTATTGTGTTATGGCATCTAGAGACTTGATTTTGGCATCTAGAGACTTTATTGTGTTATGGCATCTAGCGTCTTTATTATGATTTAAATAAATACAAATAACCGCATTAAAAAGAGAAACTGCCTGATCTGTGTTGTGGACCTACCTCATACAAAACAAACCAGAAAATGAAGGAAGGCGCACACACACAAGCTAAATCTGACCTAAATACTAATTTTTCCAGCTCTCTTTCATGTTCGAATGGTCTAGCCTACTAAAACAATTAGATGGTAGGTTAAGATTCTGTATTCAAATTTCAAACCCATGGGCAGGTAGGATTGTTTCTTTTTAAATTGCTAAATCAAAAGTTCCTTTAAAAAGGAAAAACAAAACAAAAAACAAAAAGTGACTTAAGGATAATGCTGTTAGGCATTTATCGTGTTTAACCGGGTAGTGAGGAAAACAGCTCTGCTACTACACTACATAAAGGGACACCGTCATTTAAAAAAAAAAAAAAAATTATCACATTCCTGCCTGCTATGTTTCTTTACACTAATGTTATCAAACACACCTAAGGGAACAAAGTGATTAGAGAAAAATATCTATTTTTCCAGGATCTTTACTTGGTGAATTTGACAGCACATTTTGCAGAATGAGTTTCACATTTCCCCCTGTATGGTCACTTTCTGCAGTTGTTTATGTGGGTCCATCCCTCAGCAGAGGAAAAAAAAAGAAAGAAAGAAAACCGGGATTGGCAAGGGCACTCCTAGACAGATATAGGACCTGAAACTACTTATAACTCATTTTTAAATTGACTTTATTTTAGATTGCCGGCCTTACCTTCAAATCATGTGAGCTGGTGAACTTGTTAAGTAGTGCAGTCTGGATTAGCTCCCATCGGCTTCCAGCAGTCCTATCACCATTCTTTAAAAAATAAAATGAAAACACGAACAAAGCAAAGAAATCTGAAAACACTTCAGCTAATAAAATTGTATTCGATCCCCCCAAGTCAAAAAGCATGTCGCAGTAAAATATTCAGTGTCATTGACTGTATACCACAGTACAATTGTAGAGGGGAGAAAAGGAAAAGAGGTTCTCTATTTGCCTACTTTTAGAAAGAACTTATGCTTGGAGCACTTGTGTAATTTGCTAATTAATGTCTCAAATCACACTGCATTTTACTTTAAAGAGGTTTTTTTTTTAAATTAGGACATTTGTTAAATGATATATAAAGTGCTCTCCTTCATACTAACCACACTCTTTCCTATACTACCCCATCAGCCATAAATAATGCATTAATGGTCCTTAATGCAGGAAATGGTTGACCAAAACATTATTAAAGGAGACCACTGTTGGAGGAAGTGAGCTTAATAGCTGAAGACCCTCCACCAGAAACAGTCTGCCTCTAGACCCAAAGGTTGCACATCCATGAACAGTAGGCAAAAGTGCCTCATATGCTCTCAACCACCAAAATGGTAAAGTGGCAAAGAGAAAGTCCCTAAATGAGCCAAGTCCCAAACCATGTAGGGCTTTACAGATTACAAACACCACCGTCAATCACACTCAGAATCAGAGGGGAAGCCAATAAAATTCACAAAAACAGAGGTATTCTATGCTCATTATACTAGGCAAGGAAAGGTGGTATGATCAAAGCAGTAGGAGACAAAATTGTTTGCGAAGATCTGGACCATATTGAAACGGAGGTGAGAAATGGGAGAGTTATAATTAGCAAGGAGAGAGAGATGACCAAGACTTGAACAAAGGTTTCTGCAGTAAGGATAAAGTGGATATTTGATTATGACATAATATAACTAGAGTTATAAAATCCCCCCAAAATCTCCTTTCACACTCAGAATATTAATTCAACAATTCATAGGGGGATTAAGGTACAGAAAGTCTGACTCATTCTTCCACATACTCAAATTAAGGCCATATGCCTAAAGAGAGAAAAAGATATTGGGAAAAACTCCAATGCTTACTCGGTGGAAACAGGCAATTTTCATGAGACTGGTATGAGAGGGCTGAACAAGATAGTTTACCTCTTCAGAGTCATGCTAATGCTCTTGTCTAACTGGCGCCATAGGGTTTTCATGAATCCTTTTCCTATGAAGCACCAATTCATCAGTTATTAATTTTTCAGCTGCAGCAAAAATACCACAGCTGAGAAAGTCAAAACGCCTTTAGGCTATAAAGGTGCGCACCAGCTGTCAAGAGGCAATACAATTTGGTCTCCACACAGGTAAATCTCCAAAAATGTGTTTACCTATAACTAAGGGATCTCAATCACAAGTCTCCCAAGTGGCAACATGATACTCGTATCAAAAAATCTTTAACCTAGCAAGACTAGGCCATTTATGGTTTAGCCAGTAACATAATAAAGAAGGAAAAGAAGATACACTTGAAACCTTTGAAGACTGAATACATGCACACTGAGTGACAAACTATAACTGAACCAATCATTCTGCAAGGTGTAATGATCATCCCCAATAGGACCAGGGGGGAAAAAATGTCTCTCCTTTTTTCCACGCCCAACCTGCCCCTCTTTTTCCTTACCATGTATAGTATTCATCACACAGATTGCTAAATGAATTATTGGCTGGCAGAAGAGTTCTCTTCTTCCGTCTGAAGTTTAGCTACCAGACCAGATAGACCAGTGTTCTAATTCAGTATGGCAAACTGAACATCTAAAACTATAGCAGAAGGCAGGGTCACAACTCCTTATTGTATCTGTCTCAGTTTTATTGCCCAAACTTTCATTCATATTTGTAAGGAAATTTTTTTTGTCTTACCTCATCCTCTACAGGGTATAAGTTTTGTTCTGAACAGGGCATTTTAACATGTTTATTATCCCACAAATCTTTATAATGAGTTGGAAAAGGTTTTGGCACCTCTCCTTCCCTCAATAGATCTACCTGCAACAGAGAATAGAAAGAAAATTCATGCTATGCAAAGTGCTTGTGAAACCTACATAAACAATAAGAAACAGAAATCCTCATAAAAAGTGAATGCACAGCCAAATTTTGGCCACAAATCCTTTTCCACACGTTCCATCAAGTTTAACAGCAACTATACCCAAACATCTCAGAGTAGGCAATGGCCCATATTATATAGTCTTAGACTAACTCTTACCGCAGTAGTGTACACATAGCCAGTCAACCTAAGTTACGCAACTCCAGCTAGTGAATAACGACGTAGTGGAGTCGACGTAGCTTAGGTCGACTTACTGTGGTGTCGACTCCGTGCTGGGTCGATGGGAGACACTCTTCCATCGACTTACCTTACTCTTCTTGTTCCCAGTGGAGTACCAGGGTCGACTGGAGAGTGCTCTGCCGTCAATTTAGCAGGTCCTTCAACAGACCTGTTAAATCGACCCCCGGTGCATCAATCCAGCAGGAGTGTAGACACAGCCTCAGATACTCACATGCTTGTGTAACACTGCTCCTGCCTGGGCTGTCTGTGAGGATTGAACCCAGGACCTCTGGATCTAAAACAGAGTGCAGCTACTGCTTGAGCTAAAGCACCTGGTCAACTAGGTCAGCAGTAGACGACTCGAACTTCTCTAGTCTAGCCACCAGAAGGGGACAAAAAGCCACACTGTGCTGATGTGGGTTATACTTGTTTTCAGTCTAAGACACTAGGATATTAGAGTAACAAAACAATCATTTTGGTGGAGAAGACACTTTCATTACAAGATGATCATTTTCAGGTATTTATATAACATTTTCTGAAATTATTTCTTTTTGGGCTGTAAGAGCATACTTCCCCCTTTAAGAGGCAGGCTTGAGCCTACAACCAAGACAGCCTGGGTGTAATAAAGGAGGCCCCTGCCCACCTTAGGGCTTGGTAATCTAAACAGGAACAGAAAACTGAGCAGGAGGAAGGGGTCTAGAAGCCATCCAGGCTGCAAAGGATAGTAGTCTCTCCCTCACTCTCCAGAGGGCTAGCCTAATCCAGCCAGAGGATTTCTTTGTGGACTTTTAGTTTGGAAATTCTGAAACAGGGTCATCCGGTAAGGGCCTACGAACTTCTGTTACAAATGCTCCCTCCCCAAGACCTTATTAAAGGGGATATACGTATGCTGTTTCAGCTTACCCTTGTCTGGATTCTTTACAGTGGATTTACTGATGGATACAGTTGGAAACATTAAGGCAGGGTCTATCTGCTGTACATACCCAGTCACAAGGGGCACATAGGGGAAGCACACACCGTTTACAGGTGAAAAGCTACTCATTTTTATACACAGCCCAAGAGTGGATTTTTTTTTTTTTTTTTAAATTGTACAATTTAGTTTGGCTTTTTTTAAGCCATTAAAACTCAGAAAATTATTTTTTTCGTGCTTTTACAAAATGTATTATATACCGTTCTGCTTTCTAATAACTCAAACATGGATATATTTAAAAAACTCCAGGCATAGCACATTTGTAATTCTCCATGCTGATATTACTGGGAGAGCTTCTATGGCCTGTGTTATTCAGGAGGTCAGACTATATGATCATAATGGTTCCTTCTAGCCTAACATTCTAAAATATAAAAATAAATATAAAATAAAGTGTCATCAATTTAACTTTTACTGCACTTTGAAATAAATGTAATATATGCAATCATTCCAATGTCTGATCACCTGCTAGGGATTTTTTTCCTCTAAAAATAAAAAATACTAAAAGCTATTCTAAGCCAATATGGCTGGAAATTTACAAACACAAAAGTCACACAATTATGGTTCCAAATGTAGCCATATTTATGTGCATGAATAACACACTATTATTGCACATGGTGATAACTAGTTGTGGATACAGTGGGAACCATATTTAAAATTCCTGACTTTTCTGATAGTAAATTCTATTCATAACATTGCATTAACAGTTGAACACCTTATAGACCACATGCCTTTTAAGCAACACGTAAGTCAAATAAATGTCAGTTTATTGAGAATGAATGTGATTTTCTTTAGCTGTGCTTTTGTGACATGCTGCCAGTTTATCATATATTTCACTTTAACAATTATTTTACTGTACATTATTTCAAAGAGAGCGAGAGACACAGACACACACATATATGTGCCAGGTTAGTATGGGATGCAAGGCTAAGATTCCTTTAGACTCCTCTTCACTCATTCACTTTTATCTTTTATACTTTGAGTCCAAAATGGAGAAATTTTGAAAACAGAAAACATTGACCAATTCTGGCTACAGATATACATGCTGCAGCTCCCAAACCTTGAAGTCAAATGGTGAGGCACAAACCTATCTAAAAGAAAGGTTTGTCCCATAAGGGCCAGAATCAAAATCTTAATCATATTTCTGAAGTCCTACTCAACCAAATTATAAGACCGCTGTATCACAGAAGGCAAGTCATCTTTAAGCGTATTAGATACTCTAGCTAGCTTCCTGAGAAGTCAAAAGTTTCCACAATCATGTAAAGCTGCAAAACTGATAAATGGCAGGATATCAGTCTTATGCCATCAATTTAATAAGAAGGTTGTGTTTTCAAATATTATTTTGAATCATCATACTCTGACGGTCACTGTGTGATTAGTTGATGGTCTCAGATGAGGAAGACGAGCCCCACACATAGGCATTCTCCTCATCTCTTCAATAGGTGTCCCAAACCATTTCTTATTAGTTGGAAGCGAAGGTGGGATATATTTAGGAATCTTCCTTCCTGGCCTTTGGTGTTTGAATTCACAAGGTTCTTTCCTGCTGTTAAAATAAAAGGAATACATTGAAGCACATCTTATTTACAGTGGAATACTCTACAGCTAAATGTATGTATTAACATTAGATTTCAAACTAAATTTGTGTCACTTAAGCAGTTTCTTTTCTAAAATCCTTTTTAACTGCATCCAAAACACAGCAAAAGCTGAATCCAGAAACACCTTGTTTTCAGCAACATGCAGTTTTCCATAGTGTTCAACAGCAGAAAAGCCATCCTCAAAACTGCTCCAAATATTGTAAACTTTATGGAATGGAACACAATCCTTAGCCAGAGGCTTTGGTCCCATTATGGTCCCCATTAACAGGAGTCTCTAAGTATCAGTTTAATCATTAACTGTACATGTTCAATGCAATATTCTATTTATACATAATGAAAAGTGCTTTTACCATATGAACCCATCAGGACACTGTAGCGGATAACAGCTTTCTCAAGATGACGTTTACCCGTACCACCAGCTCCCCAGACACTACCGGGGGAATGGAACATATTGACTTCTAAGTCAGTAGTTTGAACAGCCTTTATATTTGTCCTCAAACAGCAGCAAAACAGTTCCAGTGTATTCCATCTGTATAGTATGGCTTAAGCAGACATTGTAGAGACCTGGTACAAATCACCAGTTGTAGAACTTCAGAGTGATTATAGATCTCAGTATAACATACAAGCAATATCCTATCTGAATACAAAAAAAGGTATCAAAGTGGAGGCACAGACTTCAATCAGAAGTAGAGATGGATATTCAGAAGTGTTTGAGCATTCACAGCTGACATTAAAATTAATGGGAGCAGCAAATGCTCTTTCAAAATCCAGCTTTGCCTTTTTCCTGATGTAAGCAGAGTCAGGATGAGCTCTACCCTGACATCTGGTGGTGAATTATGGCGAGTGTGGAAAAGAACTCCAGGGGCTGATCTTGTTTGCATAGGCACACCCACTGGCCTGGCATGAAACACAACAACTGAAAATGGTTACTTTGGCTGGTGTGGGATCCCCAGTTTCTCTATTATTGGGGCGGGAAGAATAAAGTTTTGTTACCCTGATTCTGTGAATCAAGGCCAGTGGAACTGTTGTATGACAGAAGGACTGAGTGAGTCCCTCACCATTACCTAAGTAGCACTTGCTTGACAAGGGGCATGGGTTACAAAACCCAGTGAATTGAGAGAGGATGGGGACAGGTATTTGTACCTGATGGTATGGGCCCCCTCTGAGGGTTTGAAACACCAATTGCACCGCCTCCTCTCTCCACTGTTGAATGTCAGAGCTAACTTTGATTCCCTTAGGAGTCTAGTTACAGGCTGTGGAGCTGAATTCACTTTGGGCCAATGGTGCACCAGCACTGGGGCTCCCCTACTATTACTATGAGCTGAAATCACTAAGAGCTGAAATCACAAAAGAGCCGATGTTATTAAGAGCTGAAATCACAAAAGAGCTGACGTTATTAAGAGCTGAAATCACTGAGTGCTGTGTTAACTAGTGGGGGAGCCTGAAGCTATATTGCTCAGCAGCTGGCGGAGCAATTTGTGGGGACGACTGGAGGAGCGGCGTGGAGCCTTGCGGGGCCGGTTGGAGTGGCCTAAGGAACGGCGAGCGGAGCTGTTTGCGGGGACGGCTGGAATGGCTCACAGGTCGGTGAGCGGAGCGGAGCAGCTTGTACAGCGGAGCAGTTTGTGGGATGGCAGGAAAGTGGACTGGCTCGTGGTAAAGGCTGCGGCGGAACCCCCACGGAGAAACAGACGGCTGGCCAGCCTCGGATCACGTAAGGTGCCCCTTAACACCCTGCGTGCCCCCCCCCTTTTACTCTGGGACTGTACTGACCAGGGACAGAGACTTTGGGGGTTGTTGGACTTTTGGGACTTTGGGTGGTTGCTGGACCCAAGAGACTTTGGGGGTGTCGGACTTTGGGGACTCTGGGTGATTTTTGGGTTGCTGGATTCAAGAACCAAAGGGAAAGGACACAGCCCAATTTGCTGGGGTGGGTTTTGCTCATGGTTTGTGTTGTGAATCCTGTTTGTGGTGTTTTTTCCAATTTTATGCTGATGTCGTTTACCTCATGTTATTAAACATTTTCTGCTACACTCAGACTCCGTGCTTGCGAGAGGGGAAGTATTGCCTCTTAGAGGTACCCAGGGGGGGTGGTATGTAATTGTCCCAGGTCACTGGGTGGGGGCTCGAGCCGGTTTTGCATTGTGTTATTGAAACTGAACCCCTAGATACAGAACCCGGCCCTTGTTGCTGCCAACTAGATGGGCAGAAGGGTTACACTTATATAGTCATTTACAGGTAATGATTTACACCCATTTTGCATGTGCGTAAGTAACTAGACAAGCTGTAGGGCAATAGTGAATTGGGCCTAACACACAAGGAAAGATTATAGAAACAAGCCCAAATTTTGTTCTCTGTTATACTGGCATTACTTCAGACTTACACAGGTAATTTAGAACAATAATTTAACTCCATTTCTTGAAGCTGGCAGGAGCTAAACTAACCAAAGAGTCTCCACAAACAAGACTGATTTTGTTGAACACTTCATTATTTATTAACTCAGTGCCCAGAAGTCTGCTCAGTGCCCAACAGATACAAGAGATAGTGTCCTGAAGCTCTGTTTGAATCTAGATTTACTAACTATAATAAATTATATATAATATATACATTAACTTGTGAGGAAATTCCCCCTGTGCAAGACTTATTTGTTACGGCAAGGTGAGCATCTCTACCAGACTATACACTGAAATATAGACTATCCAGAGGTTTCTATGCTAACCTATTTCATATAAAATCAACAGTTGTAATGGATGGATGGCCATTTATTCCATGTTCTCATTAAAATCTGGTGTACTCATTCATTATCAGCCACTGAGGCAAAAAAAATAAAATCCCAGTTTGAACTTTCTTCAGAAGTCAAAAGATCAGCATAACAATTTTGACAAACTATATTACTAATTTCTTCTGTTAGATCAGACCTCCAAGAAATTAACTAGTTAGGTTTATCAGATTTTAGCCAAGGAAATTGTTACAAATAAGCAAATACTACCCGAAGAATGGATTTCTATATCTAGTAACTTGAATCAAAGACTAAGTACAGAAAATTTCAGAAGTTTGAGAAAGTCCTGAAAAGTAAGGGCATGTCTACACTGAGAGGTAGAGTAAAATAGAAACCAGGACTCAACCTTAAGTACAATGTGTACCATGAAGTATTGACACTATAATAAAAGTGTGCACACAGTTGTTCGATACATACTGAAGAGCCAAGCCAGAAAGCAAAATCTTGAATTACACCTCTACCCCGATATAACGCTGTCCTCGGGAGCCAAAAAATCTTACCGCGTTATAGGTGAATCCTCATTATATCGAACTTGCTTTGAGCCGCCAGAGTGCGCAGCCCTGCCCCCCCACCCCCCGGAGCGCTGCTTTACCACGTTATATTTGAATTCCTGTTATATTGGGTCGCGTTATATCAGGGTAGAGGTGCATATTGTTACTCAGTAAAAAAGTCAGAAGATGCCAAGTATTCTGTTTCCACAGAATAGGCATAGTATAAAATACTCTAGTGAAGCAAGGTTACTGCTTCTTAAAAAATTAAGAGCTACTTCATTAAAAACTTACATTTCTAGTTGCACAAGTGATTTTTACCAATTGCTGCTCTTTGCTATTGAGAACAGATGCAGTGCCACTGGCAAAGATGTAGCTTAATATCTAGCTATAACAGAATATGTCATATAGTCAAGCAAAAAACACTTCTCGGAACACAAATTGATAGTTTGTCCACTTTGTTACTCAGAATTTACACTGGTGAAACTGAAATCAGAATCTGGCCCAAATTCATTCACTGTCCTCTCTGATCTAATTTCAACACAATGTACAAAATCTTTTGGTTAAAGGGATCTGTTCTTCCCTCAACTCCATTAATGCCAATGGGAGTTACCTGCACTTGTTAAGGAGAAACAGACTCTTTTGAAAATACTGAATTTCTATCACATCCTGTCTTTCATGTCTGTTGTCAGTGCAAGGTACACATTGGAATTAATAGCACATTTATGACACAACCCTGCAGAATGCAAATTCACAGACCAAATGTTTACTTTGTTTTCCATTTCCTTCTTACTTTTTAAATTCTACAAGTAATAAAAAATTAGATCCATATGATGAAATGATTATGGCAATACACCATCAGCTCTGTACTGTAAGTTTTCAGCATTCGTTTGCACATCTTGAGGATAGCTAAAAACCCAATTACTACAGACCTGAGCAATAAATGGGCATGCTACTAATACAGCTTTTTAAAAAAAATTATAGAACTGTGGAAATAACATTTACTTTGGGAACATATGAAAGTACAATTCATTGTTTGAAGTAGAGACCAGAGTTATTAAGAAGGATATGCTGCAATTCCACTTAGCCAGAATTGTTGAACAGCAAACTCAACAAGTCTCTCTCTATAATTTACTAACACAGTTCAGTAACCCTAAAGGTTTGAAAAATAGCTATACAAATAGCCACTTCTCCAACCTCTTTGTGTCTGCATGAGATCCATTCACCTTCACAACCTACTACTTCTCCAAATGTTACTTTATGAACAAGAGAATTTCAAGTGGGCAGCTATTTCTGAAGAAATTGATTTATGGCCAGAATACCCACGACTCTCATATTCAGTTTCTTTTTTTAATAGAAAAAAATATTGATTAAAGGTCATTTTAGAAAACATTGTTCAAGATTTCAGCTCTCCTATATTTTTAGCCACAGCATAACACCGGAATGCTGCATTCTGCAAGTACTCTTCTAAAATAACAGAGAATATGTCCCCACATAAAGTGAAGAGTTTGCAACCTATATGCCTTATCAGGGACCAAAGTCTGCACAATGAACACCCTCAACTCACACTGATTTCAATAAGGAGGCACAGATGCCCACTACTTCTTCAACTCAGACCCCACTACCATGAGAAATAAAGACAGAGCCAGCAGTCTTTGAATTTCAATTTTCGTAACTTTGGATCTGAAACTCAAATACTTTTTTTAAAAATGTAGTTCTTTCATCCTTAGTAGTAACTGGATGACTAGCAAAGAACATCATTGTAAATAGGGAAGGAGCGGAGGCTAAAATGGGGGGGAGGGAGAAATAAGTTAAGAATTACTTAGGGCTTGTCTACACTTACAGCGCTGCACCAGTGCAGCTGCGCTGTTGTAGCACTTAGTGGATTTTCCATACCCCTCAGCAACACAGTTATATCAACATAAGTTTGCAGTGTAGCCCAGGGCTTAGAAAAGTTAGATGTCTTCAAGTTGGCTGGGCCTGATGTAATACATCCTAGAATACTTAGGAATTGGCTGAAGAGATCTCTCAGCCATTAGTTATCTTTGAGAATTCATGGAAGAGAGGAGAGAGATGAGAGAACTGGAAAAGGGCAAGTACAGTATCTATAAAAAGGGGAATAAGGACAACCCAGGGAATTATAGACCAGTCAGCTTAACTTGGTTGTCCAGAAAGATAATGGAGCAAACAATCAATTTGTAAGCACCTAGAACAAAATAAGGTAGTAAGTAACAGTCAACATGGATTTGTCAAGAACAATTCACGTCAAACCAACCTAATAGTCTTCTTACTGGATAAGCAGCCTTGTGGATGGGGGTGGGGAGAAGCACTAGATGTCATACATCTTGACTTTAAAAAGGCTTTTGATATTGTCTCACATGACCTCCTCAAAAACAAACTAGAGAAATATAACCTAGACAAATCTATTATAAAGCGTGTACACTTCTTTGGGGCAGCTTGTGTTTTTGCTGTATTTTTATAGCACCTAGCACAATGAGGTCTTGATCCATGACTAGGACTTCTATGCTTTATGGTAATACAAACAAAAAACCAGTAAGCACCATCATCACTACATTTCCCAATTATGAATATCTTTCTCAATGTTTTCTGGAATGAAATTTTCCATATTGGTTTCAACCCAAAGGTGGATATTTTGGTAAGTTTGAGCAAAACTAAGTTAGGTTTGTTTGTTTTTTAGCTGAGAAATGTAAGCACTGAAAAAAACAAATAAAAAAAACAAAAACAAAAACAAAAACAAAAACAAAAACAAAAACAACAAAAACAAAAACAAAAACAACAAAAACAAAAACAAAAACAAAAGCTCCCTTCCCCCATGTATTCTGATTGAATTTTGTAGCTTCTGCCTTCTTTGCATTAGACGAATGCACATACAAAAATCTAACATCTTTTTTTAATATTGATCATTGACAAAGGAACAATTGAAGTTTGAAGGAAATCTTCTTGATCTGTGGCTTACATTCTTTACCCAAAAACACCTCAAAAATAGATTCTCAGTGTATTTAAGGATTGGTCCCCTGGATCTCTTTAAAAGCAGATAAGAGCTACTAAATTGTATTAGATTGTGTTATAGCTCAGTAGGCCAGATTCATCCTTTCTATAAATCTATTGACTTCAATGGAATTTAGAAATTAGGAATTTAATTTGGTCCTATGATCATACTAATTCTTTAGAAAGAAAAATTTCACTTGTATTCAAGCTCATATATGTAACATTCAGAAGTCATTCCACAATTCACAGTACTCGTTTGCTAAGATATATCAAAAGAAAATATGTACCACCTCTTTATTTTAGAAGAGCCCTGCTATTACAATTTACTAAACAATGAATAGTAAAGCTATTCTTTGTCAAAGATGTCCTGTGCCATCATGTGTTTCCATGTATTAAAATCTAATTATTCTAAACAATTTCTTGACAAGATATACAGAGAAGCACTTTGCATTACTCTGGCTTTAGAAGGTCAGTATTAATTCCTGACCTTGATATTTCTTCTGTGTTCTAGAAATGGCACAAGACAAGCTGTTATTGTGTAACCTTGAAATAAGGTTATATAAATATTTTTGAAATTATCTGCTGTTTTTATAGCAATGGTTTCTTCACTTTTAAGTAAATTTTGCAAATCTGCTTAGAGGATAATAAAACAACTACTGTGTTATTACTGAAGAGAAATATATTTAAAAGGGAAAGAAGGAAGAGGACAAACAAAGGTTACCTTTTCTCCTCTGTTCTGGGTAGCCTCATGAAATGGGCAGTGATTTTCGAGTCCTTCTTCCCACAGTGTTTTGCACCTTTGCATTCTGATGAAAGAGTGGGAGAGATCCCATATGACTTTGTATGCAATTCATCCTCTTTGACAGAGTCATCCGTCCCCTCAAAATGGAGGTTATATCGAGCACCTTCACAACATTTGGAAGAAAACGGTGACCGTCTCAACTCTGGGTCAGCATTCCCTCGCTGAAACCTGTAAGATTTGCTTGGAGCTTTTGATGTGTCAACATCCTCTTGCTCATCAAGAAATTGACTTGTTTCTTCATCAGCTTCTGAGCCCTGGCAGCTATTCTTGGAATTATCTACATCCATTGGTGACTCCGGTTCACTTTCTTTCTCAAAAGCATGCGAATCTCCTGAACTACTTTGATATTTGTTCAGTTTTCCTGGACCTCTGATATCAGATACACAAGTATCACTGCAAACATCTGAAAGTGGGCTTTCTGGAACTACATCCACCTCATCTTGCTCACTAGTCACACAGACTACATGGACAGGATTGCAGCTCTTTAGCTGCTGTGGATTACATGAAGTTACTTTTCCTTCTGTTTCACTGTCTTTTGATGGATGTTTTGTATTTGCCATCTTCACAGACCTGCCTGATGATAATTTCCTGTGAGTCCAATTGTCACTATTTTCTTCACTACCTCTGTGAACCTGCTTGCCAGTTTTGTGCATGTGATCAATATTGGCATTTTTAAACTGATCTCCAGACCGGGTCCCTTTAACAGGCTCTATGTCTGATGACTGATCTCTGCATGGCCCCTCTGCCTCCCATTTACACAGGTTGCCAGTCTGAGGCAGATTTACAAGTTTCGTACTCATTTCCACAGATTTTGTTGGATAGCTTTGTGGACAAATATTCTCTAGCTTTTTAACATCATGCTCACACAAGTTATCCTTTTTAACAGAAGTCATCTTGGGATCTGCTCCCGTGCTATTAGTTTTGCTCTGCAAACTGTGGAAGAAAAGATTTGAAAAGCTGGGTTTAACTGTTTCTTGCAAAATGAAATTCTTATTTGTAGATTTAAAGGCCAGAGGGACTACAACAACCATGTAAGACAAACCACAGAATTTTACCCCAGTAACATCAGCAGTAAAGTCCAATAACTTACAGCTAAACTAGAGTATATCTTTTAAAAAGATAACATGTCTCCCTTTAAAGGTTCAAAGTGAGATGATGAATTAGTTACTTCTCTCAGTCATCTGTTCCAGTGGTTGATTATCCTCACAGTTAAAATGTCACATCTTACTTCCAATTAAATTTTTCTATCTTCACTTTCCAGCCACTGAATCTTGTTATGCCTTTTCTGCCATCTTAAAGACCCTCCTAAATAAGGTCTCTTTTCTGTCAATATAGGTCATTCGAGGCCATGATCAACTCATCTCTTAACCGTGTTTTTGATAATCTAAATACAATATGATTTAACTAGCTCAATTGAAGCTATGTTTCCCAGACCTCAAATCATTTTTGTAGCTTCTCGCTGAACATTCAGCAATTTTGCTACACACGTTTAAAAGTATGGACACCAGAACTGGACATAATAATTTAGTTACTTTCTCGCCAGTGTCATATATACCTCTACTCCTACTTCACATACATCCAGTTTATACATTTATGCATAATAATTCTTGGATGTAGCAGTCCTAAACAGTCTGCAGTTTAATAAAAAGTGATATTTACTAAATGTGTTGTTATTTTACAGCTAAGTTAGTTCTAGACTAAATATTACACTAAGAGTGAACAGAGACATGATCTGCTGATTAAATATCAGGTCTGTGATTCAAAAGATTTAGTTTATATTCCCAGCATGCACCCAAGCAGCAATGAGCAAGTCACTTCACCTTTCTGTGCCTACATGTACTCATCTGTAAATCTGTATAAAAATACATATCTATAGCAGACGTTGTAAAACTAAACAAATGTTTATACAGAACTTTAAGATCTTCATATAGAAGGTTCTATTATAGAATTGTCTATAAGTAACATAGATCAAATGTTAGACAGTAGTTTGTTAGGTTTTTCCTTAATCTTTCATCATCTAAAAGATAAAAAAGGGAAATTACTGATTGTTACAGTTTATAAACTCTTTGACTAAACTCATTTTGATAAGCTACTGAAAGTCAGCAGCCCCCTCAATAAATGATAATATTCTGCTGTTCTTAGAAGATACTATGGATGAATAAATGGATTACTTGTTGTGTACTATGAACTAAGCAATCCAAATAAACAGGATAAATGGGCCACTGCTAAAGACCTGACACTGAAAGCGCAGAAGCTACAAGAACACTAGTTACAACTAAAAAGAGTTTGGTGGCTTTCATCTTACAATATTCACATCTACGTCCATTAATCTGTATACCTACATCAGTTTCTCTACTCATTGAGCACTGCTTTACCGCGTTATATCCGAATTCGTGTTATATCGGGGTAGAGGTGTATTTGTAATAGTGATACTGTCACACCAGCCTATGAATAAGTTTATGAAAGCAAGATTGGGCATTCATACTCAGCAAGGAGAGTATGCTCCAAACTAAACCCAGATGTGAGCAGCTACAACTTGATCACAGTCAATGGAGATGCACCACCTTATATCAGAACTGAATATGATCCTAAAAGCTGTAGGAACAGCAAAACTATTTGCTGAAAACAAGATTACACCAAGAGCTTTGATTTATTAATGCTCTATGTCAGGGGTCAGCAACCGGCGGCACGCGAGCCGATTTTTAGTGGCACTCTGCTGCCAGCCAGGGTCCCAGCCGCCGGCCCCACTCAGCCCGCTGCCGGCCTGGATGAACGGAACCCCAGGCCGGCAGCAGGCTGAGCAGGGCCGGCAGCTGAGACCCCGTCTGGCAGGAGCCGGCAGAAAGAAGGGGTCCCGGCCTCTGGCCCCGTTCAGCCCGCTGCAAGTCTGGGGTCCTGGCCACCGGCCCCCTGCCAGCTGGCTGCCAGCCTGGGATACCAGCTGCCAGCCCCACTCACCTCACTGCACTATTATTTACTTTACATACAATAGTTTAGTTATATAATATAGACTCATAGAGAGAGACCTTCTAAAAACGTTAAAATGTATTACTGGCATGTGAAACCTTAAATTACAGTGAATAAATGAAGTCTTGGCACCCCACTTCTGAAAGGTTGCCAACCCCTGCTCTATGTTATACCAAAATGAAAGCAGAGCCGTATCTACAATAGTCCTACTTCTATTCCGGAATAAAATGATTATGTTAGTAAGTTATAATAAATCTTCTGACACAAATCCTCTTTAGAGACCGTTAAAAGAATTGTTCCATTAATTAAAAAAAAAAAAAAAAAATCTTTCAAGCAGTTTATAGTATAGCTTTTACCTCTTTAACTCAGTTGTCTTGGGTCCTTTATTCTCCATCCAAGTGGTAATTGTCCTTTGTTTGTAAACTGAAAAACCATAATATGTATATTAGGACACAAATTGCAATATTACCAAAAACTACGAAGTTTACATTTTGTATCAGCTACAAGTAAAACATCTAAATTAAGTTTTCATTACCATAACTGCTTCAGGCATCATCCAGACTAACGATGCAATATTACATCATATATAGATTTCACATCTATAATTAGTTCTTGTATTCCCTATAAACTCCTGTTTTGCTTTTAGGATACAGTCACAGGTTTCTTTCCTCCCCTTCCTCCCCATCCCAGGATTATCTGCAAAGCAGGGTAAGTGCATTGGCTACTTAGTATTCACAATGAATACAAAGTAATTGGCTGGACTCAATGGAATGGGTTGGAAAATTACCTTACCCATGCTGCGGCTCTTGATGTATTCACTTCTCAGACATGAAAATTAGATGCTTCTGTATCTTTAGCTATTGATGCCAACATACGCCTTTAGTATATGGGGAAAAAGACACGCTCTGGATCCTTACATAGCAAAATGAAGATAGTCAGTCTTGCTTCTCTTCTGCCACCACTGCTCCAAATAAAACTGTATTGATCAGTGGCTAGGATTAGTCTACTCTTGAAAATTATATTGGCATAGCTCTATCAGGGGTATAAAAAACCACATAGCTATGGCGTAGAAAATTACATAGCTATACCGACATAATCCCCAAAGCAGACGCAGCTACATTGAGAGAAGAGAGTTTCTGACAACTCAGCTAACATTTTGAGGGAGGCCTACCCCAACAGGAAAACCTCTTCTGTCAGTGCAGGCTGCGTCTACTGTATGGGGCTATGCTGACGCAGTCTATGTCGTGCACACATACCCATAAGCAGTGAACACTGACAGACACATTCTAGCCACTGAACTTTCAGAATGTGTGGGGCAGGGAGAGAAGTCAAGAAGGGGTGGAACAAGATCCTCAACACCCCCACTAAGTTGAACTTCCCTTGCTCTACTAAAATTGTATGATCATATTATACTTGACTGATAAAGCCAATTTGTAAACATTGTACAATGAAACTTGGGCCTTGTAATACTGAGAGTATTAAAAATGAGCTGGAGCAGCTTTAGTTTATGCACTCAGTCATTCCAAAGTTCAAAATAGAGAATGCATGTAACTTGCTCATTTCTTTTTTCCTTTGTGAATGTGCAACCCATGCATCCTTTCATACCAGAAAATTTCTTGAAATGTATGTCCAGTTTTAGGAGGGACAGAATTTAAAATTTGTATTTTCAAGTGTATGTAACTGAATGCTACCATTTTTATTGTTATTTTATATTTTAGTATTATACAGGTAAGATAGCACATAAGGAAAGGTAGAAGAGAATCTGTTTTATTAACCAAAATCTTCCAACAAAAATCAGATTTCTAAATCTGAAGTAGAATTTTAAGTTCAAAATATATTAAGGTAATTGACAATCTATATATTTGTCATAACTGGATTGCTGCTGAAAAGCCCCAAATATGATGGTACAAACCAGCAAGACTTAAATCTTCACCTTGATACAATCCACTGCATAAAGCATTTAGTTGAAGCCTTTTAACTAACTGGGCTACTCCAGTAAACAATCTGAAGTTCTGGAGGAATAAAAACCTGCAGAGCAGCCAAGAAACTCAGCAAGTTGCAAGTCACAAAGTTCTTAATTTGTTGGGGTGTAGTACTTTCCCTCCTCTGGCTTCATTTCTACTCTGTCTGTATCCCTGTCTTTTTCTTTTCATTCACCTCTACAACAACCAAATCTCATCACTGCAATGGCCTCCAATGTTTAAGTCTCACAGTCATTACTTCCTGTAATCCCCATGGATGAACATGATTTGGATGATCAGATCTGGATGAACATGAGAAACTTTTGGCTATTTAAACAGATGAATTCCTTATAATTTAACATAAGCATTGCTCTCCATTAAATTCATCACGCAGATAGCACTTTAAATATTTGAAAAGTGGTCAGTTTTCTAACTAGGTTAACTGATGCTCTCAATGTACATCCAGCAAAACTATTTTATGAAAGATTATAAAAAGAATCAAATCTTAACAAGTCTAACTCCACGAAAAAAGGGGGAAAATTAACTGTTTCTATAGGCAAGATGGTGACAAGTAGGGAGTAGTAGTGAAGACACCATTTGCCCTGTTTATTTAAAGTACACTGTTACCTCGATATAACGTGACCCGATATAACACGAATTCGGATATAACGAGGTAAAGCAGTGCTCCGGGGAGGGGCTGCGCACTCCAGTGGATCAAAGCAAGTTCAATATAACGCAGTTTCACCTATAACGCGGTAAGATTTTTTAGTTCCTGAGGACAGCGTTATATCGAGGTAGAGGTGTACATGAAAGCAAACAAAACAATCAGAAGACTGAACAACATACTTGTCTCTGTGCACTTAGTACAATCTTGGCTTCTCCGATGGACATGGGGGTGGGGGAAATCACAGTTACACACACATACAGGGAAAGGCTTCTCCCCCCACACCAAGTCAAACAGGAGACGAAAAACAACCACAGAAAGAGATACACAGAAGAAGGTTAAAAGGAGGCGGGTGGCACAAACCTTTGTTCCCCACCGTGGCTGCCAAGCTTTGGCTACTACCGCTGCTTCTGGGCCCTCGTTCCCGGGGGAGAGGGGGAGGAGGCGGAGGCTGCAGTGTCCCTTTTCTGTCCAAGGAAGGGGGCTGCTCTTCCTCCGAGCCGCGGCTGGGGGAAGCGGGGGGGCCCAACCTGACTCTCTTCCTGGGGGTTTCACACTCAGCCCCTGCACTCATGCTTAGGAGACCCCCCCCGCTCCGCGCACCCCAAACGCGCTGCGGCGCTGGGCTCACCAGGGAGGAGAGGCAGCCCCCAAAGGAGAGACGGCAGGGGTCCTTCCCCTCCACATCCTCCTGCTGCCGAAGGCGCGTGGGGGGGCGGGAGCAGCTCGCCCGGCTCTCCCGCACCCCAAACCTTCCGGGAGCAGTGAGCGGACAAGGAACAGGGACCCACACGGGGGCTGGACTCAGGCCAATGGGGGAGCAGGGGCCGCGGCCACACACCTCAAAATGTCTCCCCCTCTCCCCATAGCAACAGTTCCTCCGTCGCCCCGCCTCCTTGGACCGTAAAGCAACATGTCCCGGTCCGTCGTAAAGCGGAACAGGAGACGTGAAAGCTGCGGCGCTAAGTACTCGCTTTACGGCAGCAGTAGCAGCGGGCGAGGGAGGGGGCGCCGGGGAGGTTGTTCGTTGACTCGGTCAGGGCCAGGCCCTGTCCAAAGGCGGCTACATGGAGGGCGGCGGTGGCAACTCGAAGGGCTCAGGCCTCGGCAGCCTGTTCGGTGCTGGAGGAGCCGGGGGCCCGGGCTATTCCCACGCGGACCTGGCCGGGGTGCCGTGTGAGTATCCGCCGGCCGGGCCCGGCCTCCTGCCCTTCCCGCCACGCTCGGCCGGGGGCTCCCGCAGCCCGTGCGCCCAGCGGAGCTCCCCCTCCCCCCGCTCTTATATCCCCGGGGACGGGCGGGACTCGAGGCCACGGGGCAGAACCGGGGCACGCGGGCGGGGATAGAGGAGGGCTCTAGTAAGGGGGAAATGGGGAAGCTGGCGGTGCAGTAACCGCGAGAACATCCCCAGTAACCCTCCCGCGGGGGGGGCGGGCCGCCAGCACCGGTACCTGAAACTGACTCGAGCCCTGAGAAGCAGCTAGCACCAGTCACGCGGGTTGCACGGGTACCGGGCGGGGTGAGCGGCCCTCTGCGGAATCCGAGCCTTGTGCAATCGCAGAGGAGCCAGTGCCTGTGTAGGGGGAGCGTCAAGAGCCGGCACGCAATCGAGGGTGTGAGCTGAGGCCCTGGCCACTTTAATTATCTCTCAGTGTTTCCATCCGCTATTACTAGCATGGTGCCTGAGCGGGTGGCCAGTATTTATTCATACAAGCTGCTTTTGGCACAGAAACATGAAAGTGATCACATCCTTGCTGGGAGTGATAAGCAGATAAGGGGGCCTTGCTTAGTTTAAGAAAAATTTCAGTTTGAGCTGACCTATACAAGACTTCATATATATAGTTGAATGAATTTGACAGTTAACTATGACTTAAGCAATTGGCTCTATAGTAAACTTTTAATTACTTATCTTAGGGAGTCCACAGGTTGATTTTTGGACAAAATATCATCCTGCCCATCTCAGCCTGGCTGTAGATTTAAAGAATAAAATTAATGTGTAACGTTTGCACTTAAGAATAATCTATACAACTTGTACCAGTCTGTCTATAGATAAATTGATTTACAAAAACGTTTACAAAGGTAGGTAAGTATCATCATCCCATTTCACAGATGGGGAAATGGAGGCAGAAGTTAAGTGACTTTCTAAGGTCACACCGTATGTCAGTGGTGGAGTAGAGAATAGAACCCAGGTTTCCCAACAACCACTTCCTTGATCATGGTGTTTGTCTCCTCCATGTCATGCAGTATATTATTACTGTAGAAATGTGTATGTACTAGAGAAATCAAATAATAGTGATGACCGTTTTAATTACCTGAAACATGGATTTTAAATGACCGGATCAAAATAACTACTACCCTCTTTCCTCAACCATCTTCCCATCACCGTTTCTGTCTCAGTCTTGGAGATATTGCTCATACTGATTTCAGTAACAAAGTTCTTTTTCTTCCTCATTCAGTAACTGGAATGAGCCCTTTGTCTCCCTATTTAAATGTGGATCCCAGATATTTAATACAGGTAAGAAGCATGTTTCTATTTTGATCCTATTAAGTCAGTTATCTTAAATGAGTCACTGTTTCCCTTGTGTAGAGCTGCTTTTCCTAAAGTAAAGAGGTCTGATTTTTCTCTTCTATATCAGCGACAAATTGAACTAAGCAGAAAACTTAAAACTTAATATGGTTCCATACAAATTTTATACTATTGATCACTTGAAGTCTGAGAACTGAGTTTCAGCACAGTACTTAGTACAACTTCTTGATGTCATAGTGCCTGAGAGGAGAAATCCAGTTTAGGGACAGAGTGTGAATTAGTCCAAATTAGAAATGGAATTTCTAGAATCTTAAGTCATGCTTCCTTCCAGGTCAAGATCTAGTGCCCCACAAGGGATGTATCAGTTGTGAAACTGATATAACTTAGAGAATTTTTCACTTGACCAGAGCTCGGAGAGCCGTTGCCCTTTGCTGGATCCTACACCCAAGAGGAGAGAGCACCCACATCAGAATTAGTTTAGTTTAAAAGTATCCCTTATAAAATAACTCACAGCTGACTTATGAAACAATAGTGTTTATAAGAAAAATGTTTTGGGAATATCCAAATATTTTAGTGTACAAGGGCAGTGTAGACTTGATGTCACCTCAAAATGCTCAACTGAGTACAACATACTTCTCAACTAAAACCACTAATATTACTAAATTAAATATAGCTTTAAGAAAGCAGGATTATTTTTAAGCTAAAAATTGTCTGCAAAATTAATCTTGCAGAAAGTTAACATAAGAATGGCCATACTGGGTCAGACCAAAGGTCCATTAAGCCCAGTATCCTGTCTTTGGACAGTAGCCAATGCCAGGTGCTTCAGAGGGACTGAACAGAACAGGTAATCATCATCAAGTGATCCATCCCCTGTTGCCCATTCCCAGCTTCGCTATTATATTTAATCTGCCCGAGATCTAGGTAATATGCAAATTCTGTAGACCATCAGAAGATAAAATCAAACTAAACAATTACAGAAAACCTCATTTGCTTCCCAGTTTCATCCAGTTGTATTAAATATGGCAAAAATATCCCAAAGAAGATAGCTCCTTCTTTATGTCCTCAATTTTGAACAGATGTTTAGTACAAATAGCTTGTAGTATGCTCTTAATAAAGACACTTTGTCACATCTAAAATAGCTAGGAGCTTTGCGGGTCAGGGGAGGGAACTGCTACTTAAGGAAATCTGTTTGGCTAAACAAGTACAGCAGTATGTGTTACTCTTCTGATCTAGCACCAGTCTTTTATTTTGCATGAGTGTTAACACGTGCTCACTCTTAAGATAGCAAAAGTAACAACTCTCTTCAAAAGAGCTTCCATTCAGTGAGTTTGGGAATTGCAAAGGTTTCAGGAGGCACACAATAAATGTTCTGTAACCTCAGTGGTGAATCAAACTTAATTTAAGTAAGAGAAAACAACACTTGTATTCTATTCAAAGATTTTATTTAAAAGTAAAAACCTGTAGTGTATAAACCAATAGAAATAGTACTTGACTTCTTACTTCCTCTTCATCTGTTATATCGACATATCTAGGGTAGTCAATCATCTTGAATTTGGAAAATCCTAGAAGTCTTTACACCTACTGCCAGGCCCACGACTGGCAGATTTGCCTTGGTTATCTGCTCCTGGGGGAATTCTGCGCCACTGTGGATGCGCAGAATTCATGTCTCCTACATATTTCCTTGCTTCCCCGCAGAAAAATTACTTTGACAGGGAAGCCACAAGAGCGGTCATGCGACTCTCCCCAGCAGTATGTTTTGGGTGCCCAGGGCAGCTGGCAGAGAGGTAAATCACTGTGGGGCAGGGGTTGGGACTGGGGAAGACCCGGCTGGTGGCTCCTACCCTGCCCTGGGCTCAACTGCTAGTCCTGGCTGGACTGGGGAGGATGGGAATTCCTCTTCCCCTGCACAGCATCCAGGGCTGGGTCAGACCCACCTCCAGATTTCTCCCCAGGCTGCAGGAAGCTCTGAAAACTCCCTCTTCCCTGCACCCATTGCTCCTCAGCTGCAGGGGGAGGGATCACTGTATGGGGAGCTGCTCCCCCATCCGCCTAGCCCCCATGCATCCAGACCCTCTCCTACCTAGATTCTCCTGCCAAGCCTCACTGCACCCAGAACCTCTCTGCAGAGCCCCAGTCCCCCTGCACCACCTCTACGAGCCACCTGCACCGGGATCCCCACCCCACTGAGCCCCAAACAGCTGTACCCGGATCCCCACCCCACTGAGTCCCACTCCCCCAGCATCTGGGCCCCCCCACTGAACTCTCTACACCCAGACCCCCCCCCGCTGAGCCCCAACCACCTTCACCCCCCTGCAGCGTCCCTTTACCATTGCACCCAGAACTTCCCCCCCACCCCCCGTACGCCCGCACCTGGATCCCCCACTGAGCCACCTACATCCAGATTGCCCCACACAGAACCCTTTCAACCCACACGTGGATCCCTCCCTACACTAAGTCCCTCCACACTTGGATCCTGCCTGCTCACACCTGGTGCACCTGTCACAGAGGGGCAGGGCCCTGGGGTGTTTCTGGGGCAGGCCCGGTCCTTGCACTGTGTCAGGGTTGGGTGCAGCCTCACGGCTGAGCCAGTGTCTGGGGAGGGGGAAGCTGCAGAGTGAGCTCCCACCTCTATGCAGCTAGTAGCCTGTGCTCCCCAATGCTATGCTGGAGCCTCCACATTTATTTGACAAATAAAATTTGCAGAATTTTAAATTTTTGCGCATATTTATTTTTTTGGTGCAGAATGCCCTCAGGAGTAGTTATCAGTCCATATTGTGTTGCAGAAACTCACTTCAGAAAACTCAATTCAAAGTGTTGATGCAAAGATTCAGCAAAGAAGGAAGAAATGTTTTCTTCAGATGTCTTCTTCTCTCCCCTTTCCCTTGAAAAGTAAGGATTCTACACTGACTTCCTTAGTTCTCAACAAATGTTGTTGCTTTGATATAACAAACAATATTAATTGAGAGAGTAGCATCATGAATCCACTGGATTGGTGCTATGCCCCCAGCTTTGGAACAGTCTCTGGGAGGAATCCCTTCAGTATGCCAGACCCCCCAAGGAGACTCATTCTTCCTTCAGAGTAAGGCACCGGGCCTCACCACCTCCTAAGACTGAACATCTGTGGCTCCAGCACTCATGTTTCACGCTGTGAGCTCTGTTCAGCAAATCCAACTGCGATAGACTCCTGGTAGAGAC